ACCCTGTAAAATACGCCTTCCAAAACAGCATGTAAACAGCCGCGCTTTTAGAGTGCGTGACAAGCCCTTTAGAAATAACCCGCACATTAAATGATGTAGTAATTACCTGGCCTGGGTTTATGCCTCTAGGTGATAAAGTGAACGAACTTGGAATTACTACTTCTTTTTGATAATTGCAAGCTGTCACAATCCATAGCCTCCTCCCAGCGATGCTGGCCAGAGCTCGTATGTGGTTAAGAGCAGTTTGACAAAACGAGTGAGGCCATTGAGCATTTATTCAGACTTATCTGCATTACAATTTTCCAACCAGACAAAGGACCCGGTCATTCCAGATCCCGAAAACATTCAGAGAGTACAACATCCGCCCGGACACAAAAGTCTGCAACCTCGTGAGTGGATATCCTAGCAGCGATTTATATGCCCCCCCTGTGTACTGCCTCGGCAACAAAGGCCGCTGGCGGTTGGCACTTGTCCGTACATGAAATTTTATGAAGTCGCTTGTCTGCCTTATTAATAAGTCCATAATTACTGTTTCCTCTACCTTTATAAAACGACAGGGGTCGGTTACTCTGACCTGGTCCCAAGTGTAAGCGCTATTAGGGCATTGAAAGTAAAGTAAGTCGAAGGTGGATGCGGGAATCTGTAGTGGGGGAGGAAACCGAGGCTGAGACGGAAAAGGCAACCTGATGTATGACAAACCTGCTGCGAGATTGAAGGAAACCTAGAATCCCCGCAAACGACCCAGCTCACAGGACACGTGGGGCAGCACTACGGGAAACACAACGGTGAATCCAACCGTTACCTCAGAAGAAGACCTTATCTTTAACGTAATTATAAACCTAGCGCTGATCAAAAAATAAACACTAGACCTAACCCTAAACCCACTAAAACCCTAGCCATTAACTTAAGATAAGCCTTAACTCTGACCCTTGCCTTTACCTGACCCAAACCCAAATAAACTTAATCGTAACCCTACCCTAACCCTGACCCCAACCTTAACCCTAAATGCAAACCAAAACCTCAGTCCAAATTTGAACTCTAATCGGAACCCTTTAAATTAACAGAAACCCCAATCCAAACCTTAATCCAAAACACTTACCTAAACCGCAAAACAAACTATACTTCTAAACCGAAACACCAGGTTGCCCTTTTCCGTTTTAACTTCGACTGTTTTTCTATTAACAATTTCAGCATCCTTCTCCGGCTTAGTTTACTTGCAGTGCCGGCATTGCGCCTTCTCTTGGGACTTGGATAGCGTAACTGACCGCTTCCTACAAAACTTTCAAAAGTAAACCAATTCTCTAACTAGCTGTTATTACTTATAAATGAAATTTGCGAGGTGGGACTTCTGCCCAAATCCGCCATTGTCAAACCTAACATGACTTTGTCGTTCTTTCTAAAGTTATTAGAGTTAGAATGGAGGTGTTTTGCAAAGATGGTTTTTGTGGAACTGTTGGAGCGTTAAGGGCCGACGCCTCTCCCATGGTTCAACAGTTACCAGATCTGAGAGCGTTCCATAATTTTTCCTGAAACCTCCCACTACCCATCTGCCACCCGTTTAAAATCACATTAACATCCCTTTTTGAAACCTAAGATGTCTGACATCGTGTCTTCTGTCAAAATCACGCCTAATCACTTTGGTTCTTAAGTACGTCCGCCGAATTGCTTACTCATCCACCTTTTCGACGCTCACCGAACTGTCGTGCCTACCTTAGATATTTCCATCTACTTCTCCAATCTCCTCAAATTTACCTTATAGTCTTTCATTTCCCCCTTCCCACGAATACGCCTTTACAACAAATTCTACACTTAGCTAACGCGTCCCAACCAGGCGCGGGACTTGCCGGTAGCGTTATTTCTTAGAGTCGAGTCAGTAGTCCTGCAAGTAGTCGCAAACCGACTAGTATTCTATGCAGAGTGAGATTATAGACGGGAACATAGGGGGCTGAAGTCGCCATTTCTAGCCTAGTGACAGTTCGACCATCGGTTTCGATGGTGTCCACCGTGTGCCCCACAGCTGCAGCAGCAATGGGAGTAGGGACGGTGACTTACGCAGGGGTTTATAGTGCCGGTAGACTTGCGTAGCATCTACCTACACTCTCTCCTCCTCCCTCGCCCGTGCCCGGTGTCAAGACAAAGTCAAGAAGACCGGAGACGAGGGAGGCCGCAGGTGGATGGCTCGGACGGATCCTCACATTAGCGTTCCACCACACTCCCTAGTCCACACAACAAATTACCAGGATTTCAACCAACACAAGAGAGATTTGGAGGCTGGCGCGGCCGAAGCCGCACCTGGGCGTGCCGCCAACGCCTGGCTCGGATCCCACACTGTGATGGGAGTGCCATAAAGGAAACATTAAAAAGGAGCTATTGCAGCCTGAATCTCAGACCGCCTCCGGTCAAGGAGGAGGTCCAAGTTATCCCGTCAGTTGGCTACCTTCCAAGACACGGCTTTTAGCGCACCGTGATAGCTTCAAGCGCGTCAGATTGTTTATAGTGAGGAGAAAGTGCGCTGAGTCGTCGACCTCACTCTCCCTTCCCATTCCCACACCCCAGCAGTTGTCCGAGCCGGTCAGCCGACTGGAGTGGGGAATGGGCGCGGTGGCTGTCATGGTCGACTGACCATGACTGCGCGCGCCACGGCACGACCTGGCCCCCCATACACACAACACCAGGATTTCACACAACGGGGGTTGAACGGCGTGTCTCTCACTTGCGTGAGAGTGCCGTGGAAGGTGCTGTTTCAGCCCGTCCCCAGCCTACCAGTCCGCCAGTCCACCACTCCACACAACACACACACACACACAACGTGACGAACTGCGTGAACCGAGAACGGGCGTCAATCAGCAACCTTCTTATCCACGACGCTTGACGTGTCGGGGTAGTCTCGGACTCAAGTCACCCGTGCAGCCGAAGACGCATGGGGACCGAGTCGAGATGCGGACTTCCCACTTGCGTGAGAAGTGGCAGTTGGGTGCATGAGGTGTGTGAGTGTTGATTTCTGGTGGGGTGATGGTGGTGGTGGAGGAGGAGGAGGTAGGGAGTGAGTGAATGTGTGGTGTGACCGGCGGTTGTCTACCGCAGGTCGTCGTGGATGCGCATGTGGCCGAATAGGCCTATAAGTTGCCTGAAAGTGCGAGGGCAGTGTGGGCAGTTGAGATGAGCTTGGTGGTTATAGGTGGGTGTTCCAGGCACTGGTTCGCCAGTCTCTGTGCGATGGATTCGCAAGTGACCGACCATGCCGATGTGTGAGGTGAAGATACGGTCGCAGTGAGGGCAGGTGTAGTCCCGATCCTCATCGCTGGAGTCGGTGGAGGTGGTGGTAGTGTCAGTTGTTGTGCGCGGGACAGTCGCCTGAGCGGCCGCCGTTGGAGCAGTGGGCGAGGAGGAGGAGGCGGCGGCGTTGGAGGAGGAAGTGGTGGTTCAGAAGAATTGTCAGTGTTAGTTGGCGGCGGAGAGGAGGAGGAAGAGGCGGGCGGGAAGACGATGGTTGGTGCCGTTCGAGAGGCGCAGTTAATCCGAAGATGTCCGACAAGTCCGACTCGAGCCCGGAATGTCCTTTGACATCGAGGACACGTTGGAAACGGTTGTGCAGCGGTGTTGCGTACCGGGCTTCACGTCTCGATTTGGCGGCAGCGATGCGGTTGGCTTCGTAGATCTCAGCGCCTGTCTTCACTGTCCTCCTCCAGGTCGGTCGATCGAGTGCGAGTTCCTCCCAGTTGGTCGGGTTGATTTGCAGGCACTTCAGGGAGGACTTCAGGGTATCCTTGTAACGGCGAATGTGGCCTCCTTGACGGCGAGAACCCGTCGCGACGTCTCCGTAGAAGAGTCGTTTGGGCAGTCTCTCGTCGTCCATGCGCACCAGGTGGCCGCTCCAGCGCAGCTGCATTTGTCTCAGTATGGCGAAGATGCTGAGGATTCCCGTCCGTTCCAGCACATCAGTGTCGGGGATGCGATCCTGCCAGTTCAGCCTCAGGATGCGATGAAGACAACTGAGGTGGAAGTGGTTCAGACGACGTGCCTGCTTTGCGTACACCGTCCAAGTCTTCGCTCCATACAGTAGTGTCGGCAGGATTACGACCTTGTACATCTTCAGCTTCGTGCTCAGCTGAAGACCGTGGCGATCCCAAACTGTGCTTTGGAGGTGACCGAAGGCTTGACTGGCTTTCGGGATCCTGTTGGCGACTTCGTCGTCGATCTTGGTGTTGCGGGAGAGAGTACTGCCCAGGTACGGGAGGTTCTCCACCACTTGCAGTTGGGTTCCGTTCACGCTGATTTGTGGCGGCGCGTTGGGGGCTGTGGCTGAGTTGGGTGGCGGTTGGTGCATCATCACCGTCTTCTGCGTGTTAAAGACCAGACCGAAGTTCTCGCAGGCGGCGGAGAATAGGTCCATGCTCCGTTGCGTCTCCTCTTCCGAGGTGGTGTTCAGGGCGCAGTCGTCAGCGAAGAAGAGTTCGTGAACGGTGGCTGTGGATACGCGCGACTGGAAGTGCATCCGCCGTTGATTCAGCAGGTGACCGTCCGTCCTGTAGGCGATGCGAATCCCGGGACGTTCGTCGCGGTAGGCGTCCATCAGCATGGCAGAGAACATAAGACTGAAGAGGGTAGGCGCCAGTACGCAGCCTTGCTTCACCCCATTGGTCACTGCGAATGCCTCTGAGACAGCTTCGTTGTCCGTGACTCGTGCCATCATACCGTCGTGCAGCTAACGCACCATCTGAGTGAATCGCTCCGGACAGCCGAATTTCTGCATGATCTTCCACAGTCCTTCACGATTCACCGTGTCGAAGGCTTTCATCAGGTCCACGAAGGTAGAGTACAGGTGGGTCCGCATCTCCTAACACTTCTCCTGAAGTTGACGGGCGGCGAAGATCATATCCGTGGTCCCACGATGACGACGGAAGCCGCATTGGCTTTCCGGCAGAAGGCCCCGTTCCAGATGGTTGTTGAGGCGGTTGAGAAGGATGCGGGCGAAGATCTTCCGGGCGATGTTCAGCAGGGAGATGCCGCGGTGATTGTCGCAGACTTGGCGATTTCATTTGCGCTTGTAGAGATGCACGGTGGTTGCGTCTTTGAGATCTTGCGGGACTTCACTTTGACGCCACATCTCCTGGAAGAGCACAGTCAGGTGTTACATCAGTCGGGGACCTCCGTGCTTGTAGACCTCAGCAGGGATTGCGTCCGATCCGGGTGCTTTCCCGCTGGAGAGCTGCAGCACGGCCCTGATGGTCTCCTGGAGAGATGGCGGGAAGTCGAGGTCCGCGTTGGTCTCCACTTGCGGCAAACGCTCGATGGCGGCGTCGGAGATGACGGAGGGGCGGTTGAGGACGCCTTGGAAATGTTCGGCCCATCGCTGTAAGATTTGCGTCTTCTCAGTCAGGAGGGTGTTGCCGTCGGCGCTGAGGAGAGGAGAAGTGCCCTTCGTCGGCGGACCGTAGACAGCTTTGATCGCAGAGAAGAAGTTCTTCCATTCGTTACGGTCTGCGTACCCTCAGCTTTGCGGGCAGTCCAGGCGTCCTGCATCTCGCGCAGTCGTTGCTGAAGTTGGCGGCGACTGCGGTAGAAGGCAGCTTTAGTGGCATCAGTGAGGTGATCTGCGTAGGCTTTGTGTAGGCGGTTCTTCTCAGCTAGCAGATTTCTGATGGCGGCGTCGTTGCCGTCGAACAAGTCCTGGTGTTGTCGAGGAGCGCGACCGAGGACGGCGAGCGCCGTCGACTGGACTGTGTTTCGCAGTTGACACCAACGGTTCTCCACGGAGGCGTTCTCGGCAGCGGCGGCGACGTCGTCGGCGGCGGCAGCGATAGGAAG